GAGGGGGCGTCGGGGGGAGGGAGCAGGGACACCAGGAGGATAATACCTGTAGGTGGAAACCTCAAAAGACCATTCCAGCCACATAGATAATGACAAAGCCAAGCAAGAACGGAGGCAGAGGAGTGCCCCAGAGACATGCTCAAATCGCTTCCTCGGTAGTTTCTAACGTCTTCTTAGTACTTGTCTGCAGGTCAAGAAAAAAAATAAGTAGAAGCCATTTTGTTTAACCAGCCATGGTATCCCTCTCAGTGTGAAGGTTTGGAGACCCCGCCCCTCCAAGGAATGGGCTGAAGAAAAGATTTGCAGGTTGCAAGATAGGGACAGGTGAGGTGGGTAGGGCTCTCAAATGTGGTACCCATGCAAACATCAGTTCTTCCTGTTGACCGTGCTGGTGGAGACATTGTAGGGACTTGATCCTGGGTCCTGGTGTCCCTCTGTGTACCCCGAATGTATTTTTTCCACCCAGTCTGTGCACTGTGTCAGCCACTCACCTTTGGGGCTTTGGCAATTGTGAAGGACAGCAGGGTGGGGGGGAGTCCTCCTAAATGGGTGAAGATGTTATTTTTGGCAGTTGTTCTAGGGATCAGCCTGCTCAGGGTGATCCTCTTCCTGGAGAAGGAGCGTTTGAGACCAGGCAGGTGCATCTGGGGGAGGGTTAGGAGGTATTTTGCTCATGAAGTGTGTGGTCATCAAAGATGCTGATGGAATCACAGGTGGTCAGTCTCTGCCCCAGAGTGTCATCTCTTCACAAGTGACAGAACTCAAACTGGAGAATGTGCTCTTGACATGAGTTCCCTGGACTTCTGACCTCTGCGGTCCTGAGCCTAATTCTTACTGTTTGTCACATGAAATCTGTGGCTGTTAGGTAGGGCTGAGGGTGAGGTCTTACATGCAGTAGAACATAGTGGGAAATAGCTGTACCGAACTCAGGTCCAGAAGCTCATCCCATGGAAAAACTATCGCCTGGGAGACAAATCTCAGGGAGAAAGAAAGTGGGCTAGATTGAAAATGCAGTAATATAGAAAGGAGGCATAGTGAAGTCTTAAGTCCCCCTTCTCCAGTCTTTTGGGAAGGTTAGGGTGTTTAGACCAGGTCAGGAGCTACGTGCAGAAGCCAGCATTCCCAGGAATTTGAATGGAACATCCACATCTGGCCTTGACCAGAGCCGGTTAACACCTTCTGCTGGCACTTTATTATCTTGGGGCAGGCAGCTCCCTTTTGCATCTACTACTGTGATCAGCAGCCAATTCTGGGACCAGCTCAGAAAAACAAAAACAAAGGAAGGCAGTACAGGTCATAGCCTGAGGACGAGAGAGGGAAGAGAAATAAAGCAAGATGGGGTCACTGATGGCAACGGCCTGTTCTGTTTCCATAGGAGGCAGGAAGGAAGACGAGGAGGGGAAACACCTGTGCTTTCTGGGACAAGTAGACCATGCCTAGAGGATGGTGAATATTTCCTGGAGAAGGGCCTGGGATCCATCGGGCCCAGGTGGGTCCCAGACTCAGGCTTGTCCAGGGTACTTGGCATCCAGGCTGGTCATACTTCAGGGTCTCACCTCCTGTGACTCTCAGCCTTTTGTGATTTCTGTCCTTCTTCGGTTCCTCTAAAAATTATGTTCAAGATTAATATATGCTAATCAAAGAAGAAAAAATCAGAAAGATTTTGCACCGTAGAATTGACAAAATCGGACAAGCAAAATCTTAACAGTAGCCATTTGAATGATATGATTGTAGATATGTACTTTTCTGTTCTGTATTTTATATAATGTAGATATAGTTAGCATTTAGGAAAGTAAAGTGAATTTATTTAAACATTTTGACAGAAAAATTATGTCCAAGAGAAAACACCCAGGAAGTCCTTTAATAATAGCAAGAATGACAAAACCACCTGGCCCCAAGTAGATGTGAGAACGGAAAAAGATATCCTGTTTGGGTTGGGGCCCGTGACTGTGGAATTCTAAGTTGGAGAGGAATCTTCTTGAGTGCTCGGGGCTGCAGAGGGACCCTGGGAAAGCTCTCAGTATGGAACAGAGGCCAAGGAGCAGGCCTTTGCTTCTGAGGTTTGGGCCCAGGACTTGGCTAGAGGGAAACGAAGCCCTTTGGGGCACTCTTCTTTCTTGGTCTTCTTCCTCCAGATCCCTATTTTCTATCTCATAGATAGAGGTCTGACTCAACTCTGTCCAGAGTCAGCTTCCTGGATGTTTGTTCCCTGAGCCCTGTTCCCTGTAGACGCCTTCAGAGCAAAGGCTCCTCTTTCCTGGGATGGTCAGGTACCATTAGGGCAGAATAGATAGATGAGGTGACAGAGAAATTTTAAAAAATTTTAAAAAGTGAGACTCAGGAATTAAAGCAGAATCAGAAAGTAAAGCTAAAAAGTCAGGGCAGTAAGCCTCTCCCCTCTCCTCATCCCTTCTCCTCTTAGATTTTAGATAAAGCTACAATGTCCCTGAATGGGGAGACACAGAACAAAGGGCAAGTCGGCCTTCTCTTTTAGGTGTTAAGAAGCTGCAAACTCCTTCAATGGATAGAGAGATAGGAACTAAGAGGGCAGGTCTGGCAATGGGAGTCTCCATGTTTTAAAGAGTAAGTTCACCGCAGACTACTGTCTTCATACCTTGGGTAATGGAACCAATCTGAACCCATTTTTCCATACTTGAAAACTTAGCAAAGTGATTAGGGCTTGCTAGGTGATGTGACCAGATGTCTAGATGGAATTCAAGATGGCGTCTCCAGCTCAGAAAGTTTAAAGACCCAGACAAGAGCCACCACTTTGAGACTTCTTCACTCCCATTTCCTGAGTGGGAAGCAGAAGATGTTTCTCCTTTCCTTTCCTATTTTCCCCTACTTTACCTTATCTTACTAAAACGAACCCTTGCTAAACATTACCTTGTGAGATTTTTCTTTTGGTGAGACCCCTCAAATTGTTTTTGTTGTGGATATCAAGTTCTGAGAAGCTGAGGGAACACCGTGTCCTTTCGCTCTTCTCTAGTAACACCCTCTGGAAAAAGGTGCTGGCTTTCTTCCAGGGTTCTTGCTTTGGCGTACTAGTTCTGTGTTGTCTTATTGCCTCTCGGATGCTTATAGCATTTGTTTTGAGATAGAGTCTCACTGTGTAGCCCATCCTGGCCTGAATCTTGCCATCCTCTGGTCTGAGTCTCCCAAGTGCTGGGTTTACAGGTGTGCACCACCTATCCTGGAAAAAGTATTTTAAACCTGTTTAATTTTAGTTGTTTTCAGTGGGAGGTAACATGAGTAAACTGTGGGAAACAGGAATCAGTCATGACCTGTGCCAGTCCCACCTCTAGGAGCCTCAATATCCATGTCCTGACCTCCTACATTCAGCTCCCCACAAACACCATCAGCGTAAGCCCCATTTTTGTGAAGACTTGTAAAAAATGCTGTCACCTTAGGCTGCTCCACATCTAGTCATCCTGGGTAGTCAGTACCCTTTATGTGAATCAACAAAGAGCATCATATGTTTTTTTGGTGGTACTGGGGGTTGAACTCAGGGCCTTGTGCTTGCCAGGCAGGCGCTCAGTCCTAGAAACAACGCGTATTGTGTTCTTAATTATTGTTATTGTAACAACCATGGATTTTGTATGAATAAACACTTAATTCCATCAGAAAATTGTCAGAATACACCCAAAATGAGTTATAGACACTTTGGTGTCATGGCCAAAACTGTAGTAAACACACATTTTCATTTCTGAAGTGAAACGTGTCATGGTACTTTTCAAGAGAAGAAAAGGGCCTGAGCTATGAGTCACACTCCCTTCAATGTGGCAACTGAACACCTGGCACAGCAGCCATGAATTCAACTTGCTTCAAATTCTTTCCTGGCTTCTATTTCCTAAAAATATCGCAAATCTCTTCCCTTTTCCATGGTCCACATTCACTGTAACATTTTCCCACGTTCTCCTGATTCCTAGCTTGCACCATGGCGGTAGCTTCTAACTGGGCTTTCTACTTCCAGCCTGAGCCCATTTCCCTGAACAGGTCACCTGTTCTCAGCTGAACACCTGGGGCATTTGCTATCCTTCCTCTACCTGAGACGCTTCGCCCCATCACCTGACAGGTGAGTTTCCACACGCCTCCGAGACGTGGACTAGGCATTGCCTTTCCTTAGCAGCCTTCTTCTCCATTGCAGTTCCGGCCACAGTAAATGGCCAGTGCATGGATTTGTGTTTCTTTCCCCATTTGGTTACTTTTGCACCTTTTAGGATCTATGGTGCTTCCCTCACCCCCAGGCTGCTATGAACCATCTCTGCCACACATGCGTGACACAGTTTCAGAACGGCAGGTTTGGGCTCATCCTTGTCACTAGGCTGAGCTCTTGAGTCAGGGACATTTCTGGCTAACACAGTGCCTGGTCCTGGTAGATCCTTTGTTTCTTGTATAAATGTGTGTTCCTGGCTATTTGATTTCTGGAGTCCAGTCTCTCTCTGTGCATACCCCTGCACAGAGCCAGGAGATGCAGGGAAAGGAGGTTCACCAGCCTGCTATGCCTGTCATTTGTCACATAGTCACTAGGGGGCAGAGAGCCCTCATCTTTCCTCAAACTAGAATCCCAGGCAGCCTTCCATTTAGGGCTCTTCTAGAGTCCCTCAGAAGGTACCACCCCAGACACTTAGAAATCTGTGTGAGCTCAAGTTCAAGGAATAGCTGGCCTCTGCATCCCATCTAAACATCCCGAGGAAAGAATTTGCTCCTGTTGGTGACCCTGGAGTACATTCTGTTTACCAGAGCGAGCCAATCACACAAAGCCCTGAAATCCTAGCTACTCAGGGGGCAGAGATCAGGAGGATAAGAGGTTGAAACCAGTCTGGGCAAAATAGTTCTTGAGACCCTATCTGGAAAATACCCAACATGAAAAGGGGTGGGAGTGGCTCAAGTGGTAGAGCGCCTGTCTAGCAACCATGAGGCGCTCAGTCCTGTTCACTGTACAGCTTCCTTAGGAAGTAGACCAGGGTGCGGGGACCTTGTGATTTCTCATGAAAGGGACTTCGTTTGGAGAGAACTTGAAAACATTCAGGCACCATCATTTCCTGCGTTTTGCTAGCTTGCACTTTGCTGAGAGGCTCTTCACATCCCTACTGGGGGAGGAGGCAAGACTTGTTAAAACAAGTTGTAAAGCTAGCGCAGGGTCAGCCAAGGCTGGGGAGCTGGTGGGATAATGCAAACAATTTCTTCATATTTTTACCCAAATCTTGGGAGGGGTCCAGGGTGAATGAGATGGTGGTGAGGAGTAGGCTGGAGAAGAAAATGACCGTTCTGAGCCACACCTCAACTGGACCGGCTCCAAATTTCTTGTGTCTGTGCTCTTAGGAACTGAACTGGGCTGCTTGTCCTTCCCTTGTCTGTACACAGATTCTGGTCAGGAGACCCTCCTGAGTCCCAGCCTAGCTCGAGTCCTGCCTCAGCCTGGTCTGTAGTGGCATTTCTCCTGCCCTCTTCAGTCTGCAGTTGTGTGAGCCAGGAAGTTTGTGTGTGTCCCCAGCGCAAGCCCCTCCCTGGCCCCGCTGCTTCTGAGTGCTCACTCTGTGACCTGGCATGCTCAACTTCCTTTGGGCTGCACTTGAGCCTCTGTTGATTGGAACCTATTTCTAGAAACCTCTTCCTCCCCAGAAAACACTCAGAAATTCTTCTGCCCAGGGATCTGCGCCCTAGAACACTGGTCACTCCTTTTTCGTCTTCACAGCTCTTGACCCTCCCTTAGGATTTTACTTTTCCTGGCCTCAAGGACTCCGCAGCTACTGTCCCCAACTGAGGGATGGAGGAAAGGAAGCAGGCTGAGCATGGAGTCTCCGAGGCTGAGAAAGTTCAGCAGATGGGTACCAGGTATGTGTGGGTGCAGGGAGTGGGGATGCGTGTGAACCAGCCAACATTGTGGGGTGATGATGGGTTCATTCCATGGAAGGCAGCCTACCCCCATGCTGAGTTTGATTGCAGGGGCTCTGGGAAGGCTTCTTCCTGATCCCTAAGCATGCCACTGCAAGTAGATACTGCAGGAGGGGCACAGGGCACACTCCCTGGGGAATCAAGCAGGCAGCCTTCCTACCAGGAGATGTGTGAAATGTGTGTGTGTATGGGTGCTCAGCCTGGAGTAAGAGGGAGATGAAGGTGTGGTTGATGGGTAGGAACAAGAAGGCAGGAAGGGGACTTCTTAAGAACCCTCTGACTTTGGGACCGTGACACATAGCAGGTCCCAGGAGGAAGTCAGCAGGCAGTACTGGACTGCTGGCTTTGTCTGATGCTAGGGACCCATCACTGTTTTCCACATTTGCTCTTCTTACAATTCCCAGCCCTTGCTCAGAAGGATCCCACTAACTGGATAATGAAGGTGGTTGATACTTCACTAAGAACCACATCCCTGGTCTCACCTACATTTAAGCCTATCTGAACCTCACCTGTTAACCCTTCCCTTCCTCTAGATGATTTACCTTCTGGGTTGGGACTAAAATCTTCCCAATGCTGGGCTTGGGAAGCCTCTTCCAACACCTTTCCCTGTGGTGGGAACTGCCCCTAGATACGGGATGACTGTCTATGTCACAGGAAGCTTTTCTTGGATTCCTGAACCTACAGCCCTCTTGGGCTATGTTCTGAGAGGGGGGCTTCCTGTAGTCTTCACTTCCAGTCAGCAGAATGGTTGAGTTTTCTGGTGGAAGCATTTCTCTCCCTGAAACCATGACTTGTAGACCAGCAGAGCGTAAGGTCTTGGGGACAGGAAGCAAAGAGTTTGTTAGTGGTTCACTCACGGATGGTGAGTGGCACCCCTCTCACTTGATTTCTACCCCTTGATTCCTGGCTGTGGGAGAAACAGCACATAACATAACATCCAATAACATATTGGAGCACGTTACTGGGCCCACGTTTAATTTCTGTCCCAGCCCCTATGGCCACCTTTCTCTTGCACACACTGAGTGAGGATGGGGTGGCAGAGAAGAGGCTGGTACCAAGAGAGTGGGTCATCTGTGCATCTGCTTGTTAGAATCCTCCTCTGTTGAGGTCACCTTTTGGTGAGTGTTCACTGGGGGCACAATATCTTCAGGCTTTTTATTCATTCTGAGAGGTCTATCCACACCTCCTCCAGAATTCCTCATCCCCACTTTCTAATCGTGTTCCTTCCAGGTCCCTCACATGCAGCCAAACCATTAGTCGTGGCCCATGAGGTGGTGATAGTTGTGTATTTGGAGATTTCATCTTCCGGTAAAATGAGCAGTCAGGCACACCTCCAGGTCCTGTCCACCCAGAGAAAAAGCCTTCACCGCTGTCCTGCAGGGGTGCACTAGTTTGGGGCTACATCTACCACTTCTGGGTGGTGCCTGCGTCTTGTTCAGAACCATCTCTAAACTAGACCCAAGCCTTCCCTTCCTCTGTCACCCAATTGCAGGGAGCGTCCATGAGGCCACAGGAGCTGGCTAGGAGAGAAAGGACAGTATAGCAGGAGTGGGACACTTGGGTTACTTCTTCATGTAACTCATTTGTGTCTTCAGGACATAGTTGTGTCTGATCACATGTACTTCCACTATGATGGAGTCTTGCTGTACACCCAACTTTGTGGCTTGTTTGATGGATACCTTAGTCCTTTTTAGGGCTGCTATCATGGAATACCCAAGACTGGGTAATTTATAAAGACTAGAGATTTATTTCTTATTGTTCTGGAGATTGGGAAGTCCAAGATCAAGAGAACCATACCTGGGAAAGCAAAGGCCTTCATGATGCCTTATTTCATGGTGGGAAGCAGAAGAGTGAGAAGGGTGGGGGAGACCAAACTCAGTTTTGTAACAACTCACTCTCATGATAAGTAACCCCCTCCCATGATAATGGCATTGATCTATTCGTGAGTGTAGAGCCCTCATGACCTAATTACCTCTTATCATGTCTCACTGCCTGACACTGTTGTATTGGAGCTGAGGTTTCGAACACACAAACTTTGAGGGATGCATTCAAACTTACCATTCTGCCCCAGAGCCCCAAATTCATGTCTTTTCTCACATAGAGAATGCACTCATTTCAACCCAATAGCCCCCAAATCTTAACTCACACTGACATCACCTTAAAAGTCCAAAGTCCATGGTCTCATCTACGTCAGATACAGGGCAGACTCAAGATATGGTTTATGAGGTGAATTCCTCTCCTGCTGTGAGCCCATCAAATCAAAAGAAGGGCTTCCAGAGTACAACGTGGGGTGGAGTGGCTCAAGAGGCAGACCACCTGGCTAGCAAGTGCAAGGCCCTGAGTTCAACCCCAGTACTCAACCCACAGGTTCCCCAAAAGGCAAAGTAACAGTGGTGGGGCAGGCATAGGACAGACCTTCCCTTTCCGCAAGGGAGAAACGACAGGCCACAAGTCAGTCCCAAATCCAACAAGGCAGACAACATTAAGTCTGAAGACTCCAGAATAACCTTCACTCATGTGCTGCCTTCTAGACACATTGGGGGTTTAGCCCCAAGGCTGCCAACACCTCTTCCCTAAGGCTTCTCTGGGTTCAGCCCCAGCAGCGGCTCTCACTGGGTGGAGACTTGTTGCACAGCTTCCCTGGCTGGAGCTCCACCCTGGTAATACCACAGTGCAGAGTCTCTGAGGAGGGCTCACTTCATTGCTGAAATTCTAAAGTAAATTATTTGAATATTGCTTGTTATCATTGACTTTAGGAGCAATCCCTAGGGAAAAAGTAACCCAAGGTCAAAGATAACAAGTTGTAATCAGATGGCCAAATACACGTAACGTATGATGAAAGACACCCAAACGCAAATTCATATGTAGTAAAAACACTACAAGTTGATTTAATTCATTGCAGATGGCAGATCATGTCTTTATTTTTATTTATCCTTTTCTGTGTTTTCCAATTATCTTTAAGGAACATATTATTCTTTTTTTTCCTTTTTGGTGAGAACTTATGGGTTAGTGCTTTGCAAAGCAGGCCCTCTATTGCTTGAGCCAAACCTCCAGTCCATTTTGCTCTGGTTAATTTGGAGATGGGGGTCTCTCGAACTGTTTGCCTGGACTTGCCTCAATCTGCAGTTCTGCTGATCTCAGCCTCCCAAGTAGCGTGGATTACAGGTGTGAGCCACCAGTGTCTGGCTAGAACATATTATTCTTACTGACTGAAAAATACCGTGTATGAGACAAGTTATTGTCAAATGACATATGTGAATGTGCCTGTGAAAAAAGTACACATTTACCACACTATCCCCTTGTTCTTTCCTCAAATCCTGCTTTTGTTGGCTTGAAAGTTACACATTATATTTTAATACTTAAGAAAAATTTGGCCTGACTTATTGAAGACTTATTTACATTTACTGTTTATATCAATTTTCTAAATGTTTTATTATTTATGTTCTTCCATGAAAAGACCTGTAGAAGATTTTGTATATACTTCTACTTATGCTTATATTATAGGGTTTTAGTTCGAAATTGTTACTAATATATATTTTTAGGGTATTTATTTATTGAAAATATTAAATTCTACCATGTTATTTACTCATCATTGGTTCCCATTTATCGTGTAGTCTACTCCTACCTGGAATTCTCATTCTTTCCAACGAAATACTTTCTCCAAGATGCTTCTTTTTTAAGTGTACGTCGATTGTAGAAAGCAATATGTTTCATTGCAACGTTTTCATACATCACATAATGTACTTTGAACATGCTTACCCCTACTGCTGTCTCTCCTCCGCTCCCTTTCCCCATCCTTTCCATTCTCCCAAACAGTCTATCTCCTACGTTCATGTCTTTAAAAAAAACCCAGATTCCACATATAAGAGAAAACATGATATTTGTCTTTCTGAGTCTGGCTAATTTTATTTAATACGATGATCTCCAGCTCCACCCATTTTTCAGCAAATGATATGATTTTTTTCTTCTGCTTTTTTTTGGTGGAACTGGGGTTCGAACTCAGGGCCTAACAATGGTTAGGCAGGCAGACTACCACTTGAGCCACTCCACCAGCCTGATTCATTCTTCTTTATGGTTGAATAATACTGTGTGTATGTGTGTGTGTGTGTGTGTGTGTACATCTCACATTATCTTTATCTATCCATCCATTGATGGATACCTAGGCTGATTCCATAAGTTGGCTACTGTGAATACTGTCTCAAAAAACATGGAAGCAAAGATATCTCTATTGAATATATCCAGGAATGATACAGTTGGATCATATGGCAGTTCTATTTTTAGCTTTTTGGAGAAACTTCCACACTCATTTCCATAGTGGCTGCACTAGTTTACATTCCCACCAACAGTTTATAAGGGTTTCTTTCCCCACTCCCACAACATCTTCCCCAACATTAATTATTTTTTCTCTGCTTGATGATAGCCATTCTGACCGGGATGAGAGATTCTCAGTGTGCTTTTATTTTCAGTTCCCCTATGGCTAAGAGTGGTGACCATTTCTTCATGTATTATTGACCATTTGGGCTCCTCTTTTGAGAAGTGTCTGGTCAGTTAACACACATATTTTTAACAATGGCTATTTTGGGATGAGGAGTTCAGAGAGGATTTTGCTTTCTTCTTTACAATTTTCTGAATATGTATGTGCTGTAGAATAAACACCAAACTTTGTAGTTAGAGAAATGTAAAGTATGAATAGGTTATAACACAGTGGTCAGACAGTGATTGTGAGTGATTGTGATTGTGATTTGTCCTCATTGGGCAGTTTCTATGGAGTGTCACAAGCCTGTTCCCAGCGATTGTCCCTTCTCGGGGCTCTCATGACTTTGTCTTCATCTGCATTACCTTCTTCCTATTTGTTTCTGCCATGTGTGCCCTTTACTGGTTGGTTGCTGTTGAGTCTCTTAATAAAAGTGTTGGAAAAGATGCAGGAGTGGCCTTGGTAGGAAAAGGAGGGAACCATGGAAGGTGCCTTTGGTGGTTTGATATGATGCCATGGAAAACATCCAGGCTACACCATGAACCCTGGAGGTCTGGCCATCCAGGAGAGTGTCATGCAAAGATTTCATGGAGCGAGCCCTGCTCTCCTGGAGGAGAGCACATGAGGGCATTGTGGTCAGGTTTGCAGTCTCAGAAGCTTGTATTTAAAGGGAAGGAAAATGATCAGAGGTATAGCCCAGTGTTGGGAGTAGCAACCCAATGACTGACAAGTTTCAAAATGCAAATGATCATGGCAGAGGGGAGCTGTCTCTTTTTTTTTGTTTTGTTTGGGACTGGGGTTTGAACTTAAGGTTTCACACTTGAAAGCAGGCTTTCTACCACTTTAGATACATCTCCAGTCCTGGAGCTGTCTCTTTACAGCTTCCTCATTGCCTTGAATTCTCCAGATCTCACTTGATTTTAGGCCAAGGGGTTCTCGGATAATCTAGAAGAAAATGTGGAGGGTAGGAGGGTTGAACAGTTAAGCAAATCAGCTCAAAACATGTCAAACAAGGTAGGGCATGAATAAATAAGTACTGTGCAATTCACTTGGCTGAAGCACACAGTTGTTTAGGGGAACAGCCATAGTTAGAGCTGAGCATCCTGGCTGGGATGTGTGTGTTAGCGAAGGATTCTAGGTATGAATCACCTGGCAGGTGGAAGCCTTTGAGAGGAGGAAATGAAATCTAAGCAACACTTGTAAACCAAAGTAGCACCATCTTGCATTTAGGTGCGGCATGGAAACTCAGAAAATACTTAAAAAGTTTAAAAAACAGCATCGAAGATATTTTAACTGACCTATACATGCATAATGTTATGTATTACTGGGTACTTGTGATGTTACGATACATGCAGACATCCTGTAACATTCGAATGAGGTTCAACACAGCTCCTCAGTGCTCTTGTTTCTGCATGGTGAAGATACTCACTGTCGTGTAGCTTTTGACATATGCAACTCTTCATTGTTATCTATAGCACAGCACACTGGAACTTCTTATTCCTCAGGATAACTTAGCACTCATCGTTCAACCTTTCTCCATCCCTCCTTCCTCCCTACTCTCTCTAGCCTCTAGTAACCACCATTCTACTCTCAACATCTACGAAGCCAACTTCTTTAGGTTACACAGATGAGGGAGATCATGTGGTGTTTGTATCTATGTGTCTGGCTTATTTCACTTAATGTAATGATCTGTGTTGCTGCAAATGGCAGAATTTCATTCTTTTTATAGCTGAATAGTATTCCATTGTGTGTATGTACCACATTTCCTTCATCCATTCAACAGTTGATGGACCTAGGTTGTTTCCATTTCTTGGCTATTGTAAGTAGTGCTGCAATAAATGTGGGAGTATAAATGTCTCTTCTACGTACGGATTTTATTTTCTTGGGATATAAGCCCAGGAGTGGGATTTCTGGATCACATGGTAGTTCTATTTTTAACTTTTCGAGGAACCTTCGCACTAGTTCCCATAATGGCTGTGCTGATTTACGTGCCCACCAACAGTGTGAAAAGCTTTCCTTTACCTCACATTCTCCCCAACGCTTATCTCTGACTTGAGTGGGGTGGTATCTTATTGTGGTTTTTGTTTACATTCCCTGATTATTAGTAATGTTTACATTTTTATAGCCTGGTGGACAAGTCACTTTTATGTACATCATCTCATTTCAGTCCTACAAAAATATCCTTGAAGTTAGTGTTGCCTATGGCTGAGGACACTGAGGCTAAGACTTCTCGAGAGCTCAGCTAGTGAGTGGCAGAGTGGAAGGTGAGCCAGGTTGGACTCTGAGGCCACGGTCATATCCCCCACCCCATGCTTCTCTGCTATATGATGCGTGGTATGCTCATGAGTTCCGTAAGGGAGTGCTTCCTAGTTTGCCTCTTGGGACACTATTCTCAGAGTATCATGAATACCATGTATTTGTTAATTGGCTCTACATGTAACTACTTTATTTTATTTTATACAGCAGTGGGAGCCAAGAGAACCTGTCCAAGCAGAGCTACAGCATGCCCCGACTGCAGCTTCTCCTGCTGGGGAAACAGGGTGTAGGAAAGAGCGCCACAGGAAACACCATTCTGGGCAAAGTTATGTTCAAGTCTGAGTGCAGTCAACAGATGGTGACCAAAATGTGCCAGAGAGAGAGTGGGATCGTGAGAGGGAAGGAGACTGTGGTCGTTGACACCCCTGACCTTTTCTCCCCAATAGAGAGTGCTGAAGTCAAGCAATGCAGCATAAAACAGTGCTTGGATCTCTTTGCTTCCCCACTGTGTGTGCTTATCTTGGTCATTGCCATTGGCCATTACACAAAAGAGGATGAGGAGACCATGAAGGGCATCCAGGAGGTGTTTGGAGCTGAAGCCTGGAGGCGTATCATTATTGTCTTCACTCAGAAGGATGACCTAGGCGCTGCACTACTGCAAGACTACATTAAAAACAAGGAGTCTCTCAAGGCGTTGGTTCAGAATGTCGGTGGCCGGTACTGCGTCTTCAACAACAAGGCAGATGAGGCTGAGCGGGCCTCCCAGGTGTCAGATCTCTTCCGAGAGATCAAGCGTCTGGTGGAGCTGAATCCAAGTTCTGGTTGTGTGGACTTCAGAGTGGAAGGCAGCAGATTCCAGGTAAGAATTAGCAAGTGGGATGAAGGTAAGTACAAGTGAATGGAATACCGCACTGCGTGAGGAATATACTGTGTTTAAGGAAATATTTGAGTATAAGATGGAGTAATGAGGCACCAGACTGTGGGTTACCTTAAGTATCAGCCTGAGGGCTTTGAAGTTCATTGGCAAGGTAGTGGACAAATGAAGCCCTTGTTTATGGTCCCTCATATTATTGAACACACATATGAGTCTTTAGATTCTTCCCTGGCTTTATAAAATCACCCTCTTCTTGTTTTTCCCTCTACTCTTTGTGGCTACTCTAAGACTGATGAGTCCTCCTCTATACTCTGGCATCTAGAAGTTGGTGTTCTCACAACTTCTACCCCTTCTTCAAGTCTTTACACTCATCTCAGGTGATCTCACCTTTTTATGACTTTGAGATCCTTCTGTTGCTGACAGTCCCCAAATGGGTGACTCTAGGCCAGCATCATCCTCTCAGGTCTGACTCCTTTACCCAATTGTCACTTGATATGTCTACTGTGCTCTCTTACACAGATCCACACTTACCATACCCAGACATGGTTCCTTCTTAAGTCTCTCAGACTTCCGTTTTCCTCACTACTCAGCAATAGTTGTGTTGTTCACCACAGTCTTCATGGCTAAGCCTAAATGTCAGCTTTGATGCCATTGCTACCTCTCAGCTGTTAAATCATCTAGCCCTGTGTGATCCATGTTCCTGGACTCCACCTACCTCTCTCCATCCCCACTAACACCATCTGCTCCAGGTCCGCACCTTTTCTTGCCTGTACTATTTTAACATAGTAACAACATTCCCTTCATATTTTCTTGAGATTTACCCACCCCCCAAATCCCCCCACTCCATTTCAGATACAACAGTCAGGGTAGTCATTGCATTTACTTCTTTAATGTGAGAGGAAAAGCTTTGTGCAACTCAGAAAGTTACAGAAAGGCAGACGTTTCCTTGGTGGAGCTGATACTGCAATCAAATGACTTATACACAGAAACCAGATGCCCCCAGGGTCCGGGTGGAAAGGGACGTTGACAAAGAGGAGTCTGCAGTCCAAGTGCAGGGGAATGAAGAGCAAGCACAGGTGAACCCAGGAAAGTTTTGGTCAAAGAAGCTTCTTAGAAGCAATGAATAATAAGCCCAAGCAGGATGAAAATAAGAGAGGAAGCAGCATTTAGTGAGCACCTATGGAATACCAGACACATACATGGCTAGGTCTTCACAACTCCACGTACAGATGTTCTGCAGATGAGGAAGCCAGCGCTCAGGAAAAGTTCAGCAACTTGCAGTCTTTTCTGCTAGTCCTGCTCTTGCTCTCCTTCACGACAAGATGTCTGTCCCTTCAGGGCAACATGGTTCAGGGAAGTCAGCAAAGACAGAAGGGGCACAGAATGAGCGTGCTACAAATGAGCTTGTCCAAATGCTTAGTGACTGCCCACTGATCTTCAGATGAAGTTCACGAGCATGGACTCGGCCTGGCCCTCGCTCTGCTCTCTGTGTGCTTGTCTCAGTGGTCTTCCCGTTGGTCCTTGAGTTACACTCATGTCCACTCTGGAGCTTTACACCTGTGATTCTCTTTGTGCTGATATTTGTCTCCCAGTGTAACCCTGCTTCAGCTCTGCTTCTATCTATCCTTCTGTCTCAGCTTCAACCCACTTCCTCTGTCTCCATGGTCTCATTCTCAGTCCCTGGTGTGAGCCCCCCACTCTTCTGCCCTCATGGCACCCCTCACATTTAGTCACCACCAGGTCACGGGATTCCTGTGGATCCATTTGAAATGAATTCCTCCCCACAAACTCAACGAGGACAGAGAGCAAATCTGTCCTGTTGATCACTGTATGTTAAGTTTATCCTTCTGTCCAGTGGAATAATGCTAATAATACACATCTCAGGGATTTCTGTGGGGTTTAAATGAAATGCTAACAAAGTTGTTTATAATACGTGAACTTGGCAGGTGTTCAACAGTTATTAGCTGTCACTATTATAGAAATGTATGAAGGCCAATAAAATTAAAAGACATTAAGGACTTCAGCAATCCAGAGGAAAGCATGTGTATGTAATAAAGCTATAAACACAAGGAGAGTTATCCTAGCATTTTGAAATAGTAACAAAGAAATGTCCTGACGACCAATGAACAGAAGGGTGCTGCATTAGCTATGTATGTCCATAGTATGGGCTAACCAAAAGAATGAGGCAGATCCATCTACACTGACTTTTGCTGAATAAAAGCCTACTAAGTCTCTTCTACGTTCGTATATGCTTGTGTATATTTGTAAAAACCCAGAGAAACGCAGAAGGACGTGTGTCAGTTAACAACTGTCCCTTTGCTGGTGGGTTGGAGGAAGAAAGAGTTATGTCATGGACATTTACATGAAGCTATCTTTTGCACTTAAAGCACACCACAGTATTTGAGCTGGACTAGGTAGGGTGAAAGAAATCTGATAATTAGTTCTGAGTGGAATAGATCCAGGGAGAGAGATGATGGAAGGTATCCAAGACATTGGATGAGGCCAGATAAGAAAGTATGAGGAGGCTTCCTTGGTTGGCATGGGGAGTTAGCAAAGATAAGGTAAGAATGAAGTCTAGGAAGTTTTTAAGATGAACAGGCCTTCATTTTGAGAGCAAGTATAAGTCTTCCCCAGGCAGGAGAAGAGGGTATCAATTATGCATTGTTTCTACCTTGTTTCCAGTTCCCTGCCTGTGGGGGCAAATATAACTGGACCTCCTATCAGAGGCTCCTTCTCTAAACTGGGGAGCAGCAAAGGAAGGAGACAGTGGAGATGTCTCCATCTCTGGGACCTCATCACAGCAGCCTCAGTGGCATCTGAAGATTGACTGTCTTTCTGGACAGATCCACAGAGGTCAATGAGGCCTTGAATTTGACCACATTCTAATCAGCAGATTACTGTGAACTACATAATTGTGTCTCCATTTTTATAACCACTACTTAGAGACTGCTTTTGCTAAAAGGTACTTCCTCCTCACCTAGCTCACAAGTTAACTGAAAGCAGGAGAAAAGCTAGGTATCCCTGCCTTGACTTTACATCTGTCTCCTCTGTTCTGAGCCATTCTCTTCTGCAGTCACCTTGGATTGCAGGAAGGACAGGACTGATTGATAACACCTTTATGATAACCAAAACTATCCCTAAAGCAACAGTGAGCATGCTGTCACTTTCCTCAAAATGACAACCACCTATAACGATGACGCTGGCCCTTGAGCAGGAGTAATCATCTTACAGGAACCAGATTGTTCCCCTCAAGAGATGACAGCGGTAACAACTTCTCGAGACATGAACAGAACTGACATAATGATCAACCAGGCCACATTTTGCATGGGACTGCTTATTTATGCCTCTCACCTCCTTTCCCAGTTCCTTCTCTATTTAAACCTAAAGCCAATGTTAGTGCCCTAAAGATGGGCTGAAATGCTTCCTCTTCCTCTTTCTGTGGCATACCAGATAGCGAATCTCCTTTCTCTTCTCTTCACCACTACTCATCTCTTTAACTGTTATATTTCAATGAGGGGCCAGACTGGACATGGCAAAACTCCCAGAGTTGGGCCTCTGGCCTAGCACTCTGGTTAAAATTTCTTTATTTTGTGAAAAGATGAACTTTTAAATCTGCATGCATCATTTGCTCCTTTTATTTTTAGGATTCCATGGATGAAGCTACACACCAGGAAGGGGATGAACTTTGTGGTAAGTTGATCCTTAAAAATTTTAAGCTCATATCTGCATTCTTTCAATGCATTGTGCAGCCAAAGTGAAAGGAAAAAAATTTCCATATGAATCAGACCCAGAATGCACCTGGAGGCTTTGCTTGGGTGGACATCCGCACCTGTATCCAGGGATCTCCTAACACTTGTGATCAGTGCTGCACCAGCCAAGGTCCTGGGCACAGTGTGTGCAACCCTCACCTGCTCTGACCTGCTGTAGAGCCAGCCTTGCCTCCTGACATTTCTTCCCTAACTCAGCCTCTTTTTCCTGGCCCTGAGTCCATTTCTCCTGATGTAAAAGCAGAACTCACTCCTTATAGACGACACCAACTTTCATCACTCACCAAGAGAGTGCAGTCTCCATGTACTGACTGCCATCAATGACGCATCTGCACAGATGTGCAATCAGCAACTAAGAGTAGCTGCAGTTTGTTCCATGTGTACATACACAGCTAGGCAACCACTGATGCATTTTTAGGGTATTTCTGCACCATCCCTCTGCAAGAACTGAGTATTCAGTGGTGCATAACAAAGAGAAGGTCCCTATCCTCATAGATTACATCCAAATAACAAAATTATGATTTTAGTAATAATGATAAGAATTACAACTGATGTTTTGTGCTGGGAGATAACTTATATACATATACGTGTATAAATTACACACATATAATCTTCATGGCATATAAAATTACATATATATTTACTACCAATCTATATCTGTTTCTGTCTATCTATCTTTCTAGTCCTCCTAACAACCATCTAAAGAAGGTGTCTTATAAACACTATGATTTTACAGATGTGAACTCAGGCAATGGATAATTCAAAACTAGATCAATGCCCTTCTGCTGAGACCCCCAGGAACATACGTGTGACTGCATGAAGTTAGGTTTCTTGATCGGAGGCACTGAGGGCAAATCCACCATGGAGACCCATAGTGCGCCACAGACCGGGGGTATTGTGTCATGTAATTATGGGCAGTGGGCTTGTGTTATGTGATTGTGAGGAAGAGTGACTTTGCACTGGACTGGGTGCTGTCAGGAGGTAGCTGACAGGTGAGGAGTTTTTAAATTTCTTATTTCAGAAAAGGTAAGGGTGGAGTGATGCTGAAGCTATTGCCCTTTTAGCTAAAATAAGGATATTTTGGCAACCCTCTTGATTTCATCTGTGTGCGACATGTTACAGAGGGTGGCAGTCCTTGAGCTCTGTGACACTGTGGATGAAGACCAGGAGGCTGCTGTGACCGAGCTGTGGGACACCAGACCACTCCTGAGTCTAGGGCCTGCTGTCTTCTTCCTCAGTACCCACTCTTGACCACCTCACTGTATGGTGTCTCCTGTACTGAAGAAAGCTGATATTAGAAAGAAATAATGAACTATTATTTTGATAAGGGTCATAAAGGAAAATATATGGCACTTGATTTGTATGGCTTTGGGGGAACAGTTTTGGAGGAGTCATGAATCAGTTATATTCACATAGGAGGCTGGATTAGCAGGAGGAGTTGATAGACTAAAAGGTGAGGAAAGCAATAACTACTGTATGTACCAAGGTTGTGAAGATGGGGAGCATGGGGTGGAGAAGCTCCCAGGCCTGATTCAAGTTCTTTCTTGCCTGTGAAGCCTTCTGTGGTCACTGCTGGGCCCATCAAAATCAAAGGACATGCTATCTCCTTCAGGGCTTTCAACAGTCTGAGATTTCTATTCATGGGTTGTCTGAGACTCACAAGGAAGCAACTTGTCCAAGACAGCACCACAAGGACCCGGTGTCACTAGCATCCTAGTTGCTCTGCCTTGCCTTAAATGCCGTGCTTGATTCACCTCCTCAGCTTGCTGAGTCCCTTGGGGACTCAGGCTGGGTGACTGTTCCCATAGTTGCTGACCCTTCTTTTGCTTAGTACATGTTTCTGGTGTTGACCTCAGCTCAAAGGAGAAGCATTGGGTCAGGACGTGTGTGCAGGTTTGCAGGTTTTTTGGGTTTTTTTGGTGGTACGGGGGTTTGAACTCAGGGCCTCATGCTTGCTGGGCAAGTGTTCTGCCATTTGAGCCACCCTGTCAGCCAGGTTTGCAGGTTTTACAGCAATTTATTGAGGCACAATTTACCTGGAGTAAACACAAAAACCTGAATTTGTTGCTGGATTGTGTTGCATCTCTACACAGTGACCACTGTGTAGACACAGGTATAGAGCACATTCATTGCCTTAGAAGTTTCTGCAGCTTCCTCCCAAAGACAAGCACTGCCAAGACTTCTAAGAACATGGATTAATTTTGTCTTTATTGAGCTTTGTGTAATGGAGTCATATAGTTTGTAGGCTTTATGTCTGGCTTTTTTCACTTAGCATGCTTTTGGTTCCATCTATGTTGCATATCTATAGTCTTTTCTTTTTCAAAAAGTTACTGGGTAGCATTTTATTCTATGATGTAACACTAAGGAACATTTCAAAATCAGATTTTCCCCATTCGCACCTTAGTTCAGGGACCTCATGCTGCAATACTTACCTTTGAAGGACCAGGAACAGTGAAGGCCTAGCTTAGCATCTTCACGATCCTGGGAAGTCTCAGGCTCCCCATGTGTCTCCTGATTTTCTCCTGCCTGGTGCATGGCTTCTACCTGGAAGGCTGGCTTCTGACTGGGACTAGAGTTTTGCTGGGTCAGAATAGTGTTGCCATTCCCTGGACAGATGGAGAAGGGTACATCGTAGAATATCATAAAACCTGTCCTCATCTGTATTTAACTGAAGATGAACACTCTGACTCTGTTCTTTTGTCCCTCAGGCTCGGCGGAGAGACAGCTGCAGACCCCAGGACCTGAACAGGTCTCAGGGATCCCAGAACTGAGGATCCTTCTTGTGGGGAAGCGCGGTGTTGGAAAAAGCACAGCTGGAAACATCATTCTGCAAAGGCACGCCTTTAAGACTCAATTCAGCGAGGAGTCCGTAACCCAGACATTTAGGTCTGAGAGCAGGGTCTGGAGAGGGAAGAAAGTTTTGGTCATCGATGCTCCAGACATCTCTTCAATGAAGGATGCTGAGTCTGAGCTTAGGAAGCACATCTTTCCAGGCCCTCATGTCTTCCTGCTGGTGACACCGGTGGGCTCTTTCAACAGGAAAGATGAGATGGTGGTACAGTCCATCAAAATCAACTTTGGAGACAAGTACATTAAGCACATGTTCATTCTCCTGACCAGGGAAGAAGATTTAGAGAGTCCGGATCAGGATATAGCTACATTCTTAAGAGAAAACGCACGTCTCAATGACCTTATCCAGAAGTGTCAAGAGAGATACAGCACTTTCAACAACCAGGCAAAGGTGGAGGAGAAGCGTATCCAGGTGGATAAACTTCTGCAGAATGTGGATAACATGGTGCACCAGAATGGCAATGTGCCTTGCATCTTCAGAGAGAAAGGTAAAACCGTGCATATATATCAATATCATACTAGAACTTTTACATTTTGAAGGGACTAGAGACGATTAGAAAGTCCATCTGCTGACAACTCTTTCTTTGTCCCCATTCTCAAATTGTCCTAAAGTTATGACTTTTCCATGAATGCTTCCTGAACCAGTCTTTAATTTGCTTATGACCCTTAGTTCTTTTCTGCAACTCAGATGCCAATGGTCTTGAGAGAAAAGTTGTTGACTTTCTGGTTTTCTTTTTTTGGCAGTATTGGAGTTTAAACTCACGGCCTTACATTGATTAGGCAGGCACTCTACCATTTGACCTACACATCCAGCCTTTTTTGTTTTTGTTAGTTATTTTTTAAATAAGGTCTTGCATTTTGTTCTGGGCTGTCCTTGATCACAGTTCTCCTGTTTACTTCTTGTGTAGCTGGGATGACAGGTGTGCACCACCACGCCCAGTTTATTTGTTGAGATATGAGTCTCACTAACTTTTTGCCCAAGCTGGCATTGAACTCACTCTTGATCTCTGCCTTCTGAATAGGGTTAAAGGCGTGTGCCACTTTGCCCTGTCAGCTTTGTTTCTCCATTGCATGGTGTTGCTTGGCACTCAGCTCTGGGAATGAGATAGTTCTGCATCGTTGGTTTACTCTGCTGTTCATCTAAAGCCCATTTCTCTGTGGGCTCTTTGCTCTTCACTCTGTAGGAGGCATGAGGCCATTGTAAAGAAAGTACAAGTGGCAACAACATTTAGCATAGTAAGATAGCCAGGCGCCAAGGTTGGACAAGGACAGGGAGCCCCAGTGCTCTTGGTGGATGGGCCCCACGTGGTGCAGTTGGGTTTCAGTAGCCCAGTTACACTGCTCTCTCTCTGTGAAGGACTCACTCACTCCATGCTGCCCACTCTGTTGACATGCGCTGAGATCCTGCCCACTCTTACTCATTTCACTTTCTTCTGATTCAGATGGCCTCACTCAGGAAAACAACTGGAGCTGCAGGAGTGTCACAGTTTACTGCCCATTTCATACCCCCTGGAGGGCTAGGTTATGAGGAGGAAATACAGGTGTGTGAGAAAGCGAGGAAAGGATGTATGGAGAGAGCCCAATTTGAAACAGGTTTTGAGAATGAGTAGGGTTTGGTGGTGGGTAGAAAGCTGGGAGTTACCCAAGAGATTACACTGCAAACTTGAGGCAAAGGAGTGGAAGCGGCTGAGCGTGCCCCTCATCAGGGGACAAAAGACAGTGGTATTGATGGAGATAGGAGTTCACAGTGCCAGAACAATGGGACAGGGAGGAGGATGGAATAGATCTCAGAGATGCTTGGGAGTCAGACCCTGTGTAGGCACAGAAGGAAGGATGGAAGTATGTGACAAACATTGGGGTGTCAGACGATTAATCTGTTTTTCATATTAGCATGAACATGAGATTGTGGCTTCAGCATAAGCAGCTCAGCAATTTCTTCTGGAAGAGCACAAGTGGGCTTTCCTCCCTTTTTGCTTTGAGGTGGATGTTAGTAACTTGCCAAGGAATTCACAGTGGAGGACCACTGTGAGGAGGCACAGTGCCAATGCAAAGGCATCAGGGAAACCCCCAAAGAACACACGTTGTCAGATCTCAGTGCCTCTGCAAATTCCACTTACAGGGAAACTTCTTCTCCTTCTCCATCACCATCACTACACACAACAGTGTTAGTGCACATTCATTATCATTACCATGAAGTTTTGGCTCATCAGTGAAAAACACATTGAGCTTCAATGTGCTTCCAATGAGAAATGAATTTCATTGTGATTCAACCAATGGAACTAGTAATTCATTAATGGTAGATGTGGTTACTTATCATGAAAAGTCAATTATATAGAACAGTTTTTCAAAACCTCAAAGAGATTGTGCTATGATTACCAGTAGTTGACAAGAGGGAGACAAAGTGGGAGCAGGAAGAGAAGACAGAAATGAGATGTATAGATTGGCCCAGTTGAGGTGGGTAAAGATAAGGCCAGTGGCTCTCATAAGTGCTAGGGAGGCTGAGGAGGTCCTGGGAGAAAGGAGCAGACTGGATTAAGAGACAGGAGCAGTGACATAAGTGAGCATTGCACAGAGACAATTGTCTGAGTCCTGCTGCTAGGTTCACAGACTGTGTGATCTGGGACACTCTCCTGCGTGAGGATGAACCTGTTGGGTGGGAGGCCCTGGTATTGTTGGAACATCCTTTCTGCTTACTGATGTAACCATGCTCTATGAATAACCTGGAAAGATGAATAGCATACCAACTCATGATCATCAGTCTTTCTCAATTTCCTCTGCACAGAAACCATCAGCTTTATCCTTGTGGGGAGGAGTGGAACCGGGAAGAGTGCAACCGGGAACACTATCCTGGGGAAACCGGTCTTCCCATCTCAACTTCGAGCCAGACCAGTCACGGAGACTTGCCAGAGTGGCAGGAGGACATTGGACAGCCAGGATGTTGTGGTTGTGGACACTCCATCAATCACCCAAATATCTGATGGTGAAAAGCAATCGTGGTCAGAGAAGGAGGTCCAATTCTGTTATTCCCTCTGTGAAGAAGGAACCAAGATTTTTGTCCTTGTGGTCCAGCTGGGACGATTCACCCAAGAGGACACAGCAGCAGTAGAGCACCTGGAAGCCATCTTTGGAGAGGAGGTTATGAAATACGCCATTGTGCTGTTCACCCGGAAGGAAGATCTTAGGGATGAGAAGCTTGAAGATTACATTAAGAATACAGATAACAAAGACCTTAAGAAAATCATTAAAAAGTGTGGGTGGCGAGTCTGTGCTTTTAGTAACAGAGAGACTGACCAATCTCAGGAGACCCAGGTGAAAGAACTTTTGCAAATGGCCAATAATCTGAGAAATAACTGTAGTGGGCATGGGTATTCCTGTACATGGGAGGATATACTCCATCGAATTAAAAATGCCCTGGAAAAGTCCAATCCCAAAAATATGTTAAGGAATTTAAAAGATAAGTTAAGATAAGTGGCTGAAAGGCCTGGGGTCTTTTCAAGTTAAGGACACAACACAATCAGGCTGGGGGAGGGTGTCCTTAACTTGAAATCAGGCTGGGGGAGGCTGGGATTGTCCCTAGCTTTGAAAGTTTAAAAGGCAAATGCATCCCACTTAGGATGCTATGGCTATTTTAGGTAAATAAATTGTAGATTGGGAAAAGTAGTAGGGAATTATAAAAGGACCAAGAGGGAAGTAGGTGGAGGAATCTAAAAAAAGTTATGAACATTCGGCTGATATTAGGTTCAGAATCAAGTCACGAAAATCAGCTCACCAACATAGACAAGATTGAGTCAGGATAGACACCGTGACCATGCTCCAGGTCAGCATGGGGTCAGAATGAATGTAGAGAGTTCCATAGGAAGCAGGGTATCCAGATGCATAGAACAAGGGCACTGGCATGGGCCTCTCTGTTGCCCAGTCTGTCTGCCAGGCCCACTCCCACTGGTTCCATGAGCTCTCCTTCCTCCTTTGGGGCAGGACTCGGGGCTACCCTGTTTCTTTCTGCATATTGTAGCTGTTTTTCAGTGCTCTTCTCATTGCACACCTAGATGTAAAGTGAAATACAGTCTCTCTTTCCTTTTTGTTCTTGAGGAAATGAGGATTTCAAGAGATTTTATAGTAAACATCACAGTGAAATAGAATAGAACAAAAATCAGAAGCACAATAAAATTACCCAAATTAGAAACTGCTGGAAAGTTTTAAAATTCTAACTTTAATAGATTTCCTGTGGAGAAGTTTATTGGAAACTCTTTTTGCACTCTATCCCCCTTTTTATATCTTTGAGGGATGGTTAGGATATATGTTAAAACTCAGACAAATCAAATGATAATGGCTTAAATATATTAGAGTGTATTGTATCATGTCAAGAAGTCTTGGACTATGTCGTCTGGAGCTTTTGGGCACCAAAAATCCAGCTTTATTCTGTCTTCTTCCCCAATTTCAATGGGAAGTAGTTGCTCACTCAAGTTTGCTTCTTGTTTCCAAGATGGTGGCCTTCTATCCATAGCTGAGCAGATTCTATTGGAAGCTGCCTGGGGTGTGCAAAATGTGAGATGAGAAATACAGCATGCTCTCCATGGTAGTTAGAGGGTCAAATGTTTTCAGTATCAGCCAATTTATACCAGCTTCAAGGACAGGATTCATGTCACATGGATTTTCCCCTTGATAATATATAAGGTTGCCTTCAAGATTAACCTGTGTATAAGACCATAGGCTGTCATCATTAATGTCCTAGAAAACCTGTGTGTAATAACACAACCTGTGTGTGTCACAACATAACTCCTAGAAAACGTGTATGTAAATGTATTGAGCTGAATCAAACAATAAAGATGAATTAGACTATACATTGTCATTCTCATTCTGATGCTTGGGAAACATTTCTGATTTAGGGAAAGAGCACGCCTCCACAAAGAAGCAATTGAGATGCATAGATACCTAGGCTTAGGTAAGCTTTCCATGTTTGGTGCCTGAGGATCTTTCAATGAGTGACAGACTTATGGGTGGCAGATGTCTGCCAGCTTGGGAATCTGTCACTGTGGACATTTCACTACAAGGACTAAGAAATGTTAGCAGTAGAAGAGCCAGGAACATGAAACGAATAACTCTGGAGGGCATTCCAGGCCTCTGCCCTTCGTGTTGAAAGCATGAACAAATCCCACTGTGCTACACATGGCTGACAAGTGACACTTGCACCTGCGTGAGGTGGGAGTGGGTGGGTTAAGCAATGTGGAGCCTTCTCGCAGGAAGACCCAACATCCATCACTATTTTCTGTTAGGTCCCCCAGTACAGCTGCATCAGTTCCAACATGAAGTATACGCTGGGAAGCAGGAGAGTGAGAGGTTTACCGGGGGATGGTGCCTGTGAGGGACTAGAATTGGGCAGGCAAAGAATTGCAGAATTGTTCCATAAAAGGAACGTGGGAGGGGCAGGAGACCCTCAGAACTGGCAAAGCCTGTGCCACCTCAACAGAAAACCCTTGGGTGAAGACTGACCAGTAGCTGGGGCCTGCATAGGGGAGACACTGGGAGCTCTTTGTGCTGAGCTTTGGGTCAGGAACGTCCTGGGAGGAGCTTTTTTGTCTCAAAAGCTGAGGTGGGGCCTGAAAGCATTGCCTTTGGAGGCTGCCAGCTAACTGAAGTCCTTGGAGCTGAATGGAAAGTTTCTTCTTGGGGCAGTGTCAAGAGTGGTGCACCCCCATGGTTGCCACTGTGAGCTGGTATGCTCCATGCAGTTCCATTTCTCCATAAATGTTTGGAAAATCCCTTACTTCAGGTTTCTGGTTTTCCTGAGGGGCAAGTAAAAGAGGAAGTTTTCCAAGATGGACTATGGGCCTTTTCACTGCATTGCATCTGGGACTGCATCTGGTGCTCACCGTCTTCCTTCTCCCCTGTCCATTTTCAACTCCCTTCACCTCGTTGTCATCTCTGCTCGTCTTGTTGCTTACCTGTTGGTGTGACCAAAAGCATCACTCCCAAGGGATCAGACTTGGGATCCCTGGTGACCTTGCTCTTCCTAGGCTGGGTTGCTGTACTTGCCCATTCAGTTACAAGTGTTCAAGGGAATGTCCAGAGATGCAGAAATGGAGGTCCTCATGTGTTCCTCTAAGGCCCCATCGCATGACAGCTGATCAGGGTCAGTTAGCACCACCAGGAGGAGACTGCTCTTCATGCCTGCTGGTGTCTAGACATAGGAACCAAAGTGGCAGCCACAGCTCAAGTTCAATGGGACCTTTGCTGTGGATGGGAAACCAATCTGCATTACAGGACAGGAATCACAAAATACTCCGGAAGGTAACTGGAATGATAAGCATGACTCTCCTGCTTGCTCTTCGTCTGGGTTCTCAAAGTCTTCTTCCTGCTGGGGACACAACATCACATAGAGGTTACTGATTCACTGTGTCTATTGCATCCCAGAGGGTGGCACCATTTCCTTACCAAGGATTCCCTTGAGCTGGTAGTCCAGAGTTGATTTCCTCTCTCTCCAGCAAGGCTATCCCAATGCTGGCCACCTTTGTCCATCCTGCCTCTTCAGTTGATGCATTGATGTAATGCAATGTTTCTCAAACTGGAGTAATTTTGCCCTGCAGGGAGCACTTCGTGTTTCCAAGAGTCACTTTTAATGTGAAAACAGGGGGTGGTGCTCCTGGCACATAGAAGGGAAGCTCCAGGAGTAGGGTTAACTCCTGGTGGTCACCATGCAATGCACTGGACGGTCCTCCACAACAACAACAAAAAAGTCTGACCCCACAGGTCGGAAGTGTGGATGCTGACAGACTCGGATGCAATGGATGAACGCATTGTATTGCAGAACATCCAGATGGCCCGGAAGTCTGTGTCAGAGAGCAGGAGAGCTAACTGCGAGGGATGTGCCGTTTCACTCTTCGCCTTGCCTGTGTGCTCAATGCACCAGGCATGTGCTACTTTCTCACTGGGTCATCTAGCTCCCCTAGCATCCCCCCTCCTTCCTCAGTGAAACCCCCTGACTTCTCTTTTCTCTCCTTCTGCACTGAGAAAGACACTGAAAAATCTAGATATCATGCAGAATGTAGCTTAAACAGTTAAAAAAAAAAACAGATTACAAAAGACAGACGACTCCCATAAAAATAAGCTAAATCCTTAAAGGAGAGTAGCCTGAGTGCTGGCGTGATCTGTAAACCTGTGAGCAAGCTCCCTTCCTGGGAAGAATCCCAAAGCCACTCGATTATGAGCCCCCGTCCTCCTACCTCAAATAGAATTGGCATTGTTTTCAATAAACCCCTCACCTTCCTATCTCGTCATCAGTCTTGGTTGTTCATGAAACCACTGACCCTGCCTCTAGCACTGCCTCACTGCCCGCCCCCCCCCTCCATAAAGTCCCTTCCATGCCTCATCTCTCTCTTCCCACTAGAGGCAAGATGTTGCTCATGTGAAACCGCAGTGGTTTTTACTCCTGCATTTCTGAGAATACAGAGGGTGCACTCAACAAATATTGGGTACAAAATCTAGCTAGAGTATGAGGAATACATTTCTCTCCTGAGCCACTCACATTTCCTATTTATCACTCTTCACTTAACACGCCTCACATAGGATGTGAGTGGCAGTGGGCAGGGCTGTGTTTCCTAACCTGCAGGTTATAGGGCTGGGTTAAACATCTAAAGAAGAATCAACACCAATACTTTACAAGGACTTTCAAAAAATAGAAGAGGGAGTACATCACAATTCATTCTATGAGGTCAGTCCTATCCAGACAAAGATACTACAAGAAATGGAAACTAGAAAGTATCCCATATGAATTTAAATATAAAAATCCTCAACAAAATACTAGTAAAGCAAATATTGCAATTTATAAAAAGAAATATTTACAAAAAGAAATGTGTTCTGTGTACAAGGTGTATGTGCTTAGGATTTACTTGAGTTACTGTATTGTTAGTTCAATACATAAACACTGATGTCACGTTAGCAAAATGGACAAAAATCACACGATCATGTCAATAATGTAGAAAAACACTTGACAAAATCCAACATCAGTGTATTGTAAATACATTGACAAATTAGAAATAAATAAAGTGATGTTTTCAGCTTTACCTTTTTATGCCTTTCCATTTTCCTCACAGATTCTGGACTCCTTGGCTCTTTAAGCAAAGCTCTTCGTATTGTGGCAGGCGTTTATCTTCTCTCTGTTGCAGTCTTTCTCGGGTCGTCCATGGAAAGGTCCTGCCCTGCTTCTGCCTCATTGCTTCCCCGCAGCGGCTCTCCCCACCTTGGACAGCTCCCCCCACCCCTAGACATACACACCTGCTTTGGATGACTCCACCATTCTGTCACTCAGGCTTATGCACTGGTGCTATGCCTCATGTTCTCAAGGGAAGGTTTCTGACTCAAAGGCTGACTAGTGTGCCCCTATTTGGTTCTATCCCAATTTCTTCAAACCCAGGCAAGTGCTTATTCTAAGCAAGTGCTAATAGGCTTCGTGGTTTTCACTCCAAGTGCACGGCCTAAGCCTTGAAGAAAGAATTTCTTGAATTAAATTATATCCCAATATCTGATGTGCCCAGGGCTCTCAGTTTATAATTTGCCACTCAGATGTCAGTTGAATATCCCCGCACCCTGAGGAGTTGGTTAAATTTGGTTCAAACTATAGTTACATAATACGTAAAATATCAAAGTTCCCTTACTACATTTAGAGTTACCTTTGTGCCTTCTTCAATCTTTCTTTGGGTCCTCCTCCCCATAATATTAGGTACTGTTTCTAGATTGGCCCATGACTCTGAAAGGTTAAACTGTAGCATTTTAACTATTCCTTCTCACGCACCATTATTCACATTCAGCGCTCTTTCCTTCCTTCTCCCCTTTCTGTTTCTGCACCTTCACTGGAGATTCTGCAGAGTTGAGAGTCAGCACTTACCCTTCCTTCCCTGTCTGGTCCCTCTTCCCTCTGCTCCCTGTCTTTTAAAAAGTTTGCATTTCTTTTGTTCATTTGTATGAGATTTGGCTCCTTAGTGGATAATAATAACATTTCTCACAGCCATTACACTGAACATGGGAAAGACCAACTTGATAAACATTTATACGTGTCCCATACTCTGAATATCGGATAAATTAAAAACAGACATCAAGTAAGGGCCTTAGTGTGTTCCAGGCACCCCTTAGGCTTAACATCAAAGCCCTCCTGCACTGATTTGTGGCATCCAACTTGGTTTTTATGAACATCTAAAGGCTCAGTTCTCAATCTTCTACCTCCTGGAGAAGGACTTTTTCTCCCTTTGAATTTTCTCCACTGACTTTTGCTGGTGTTTGCTGCTATTTCAGTTCCTTGCTTTCAGTTTCTTTCTTGCTTTGGCATCTCCCCCTCCCTCTCAAAGTCCCTTGATGTCCCTTGAGAGAAGAGGTTTTGTGCTCTGCTTCCTGTTTTGCAGCCTCCTGCTTTTGTCTTTGTTTTTCAACTGCCTCTGTTTTTCTTCTTGCACAGCTTTTAGCCTTCTTCTTCTTGTTTTAGGATTAATGACTTGTTCATTTCTTCTAATGGGACTTCTAAAGTCATTGCCATATTGGATCCTGCTTAGAACTATCTGATAAGTTACTGATTTAATGGAAATACTACATCCAGAATTTTCTGCTAGGAACACTGGCGTATTTCTGCATTTGATGACACATTAGTCTTGTGCAGGGTGGAGCAAGCACCGCTAACAAATAACACCTGGGTTGTAGTCATCTGGGGTCTCAGTTGAGCTGTAATGCCATGTGTTTCACTCACATGGTTGGAACGGGTGCTGGGTGTCACCTGGGTGTCAGCTGGGGCTGCTGTGTCTTCCTGTGGTCCTAGGTTTTGTAAGCATGGTGCCTGGATTTTGAAAG